TATATATATATATATATATATATATATATATATATATATATATATATATATATATATCCTTTATATCTATATATCTATCTATATATCTATTATAGATATATATATACCTTTATATCTATATACCTTATATCTATATACCTTATATCTATATACCTGTATATCCTTTATATCTATATCTATCTATCTATCTATATATACCTTTATATCCTTTATATCTATACACCTTTATATCTATATATCTTTATATCCATACACAGACTTATATCTTACCTTTTACCTATTTTATCTTTATATTTTATATCTAACATTTTATCTTTATATTTTATATCTAATATTTTATCTTTATATTTTATATCTAATATTTTATCTTTATATTTTATGTCTAATATTTTATCTTTATATTTTATATCTTCTATCTTATCTTTATATATTATATCTTACCTTTATATCGTATATCTAATATCTTATCTTTATATTTTATATCTTATCTTTATATTTTATATCTTATCTTTATATCTTATCTTTATATTTTATATCTTATATTTTATATCTTTATATTTTATGTTATCTTTATATTTTATATTTTATATCTTTATATTTTATGTTATCTTTATATTTTATATTTTATCTTTATATTTTATATCTTTATATTTTATATCTTTATATTTTATATTTTATATCTTCTGTTATTTTATATCTTTATATTTTATATCTTTATATTTTATATCTTCTGTTATTTTATATCTTTATATTTTATATCTTTATATTTTATATCTTATCTTTATATTTTATATCTTATCTTTATATTTTATATCTTTATATTTTATATCTTTATATTTTATATCTTCTGTTATTCCAGAGCTCAGCAGACGTCCATCCTTGTAGCATGGAGGCGATGCTTGCGGACCTGGAGGACGGCGAGCTGTCCGGGTCGGACTCCGACATGAACCCGCCTCCCGCCTCCCGCTACGGCGAGCGGTCCTTCCAGAGCCGGGCCGCGCCGCCGCCCGTCGCCACGGGTTACCGCAGCGCCGCCCGCGCCGCCGACTCCAGCGACAGCGGCGGAGACTCGGAGGACGACGAGGCGGCGGCGGCGTCGTGGCGCCGCAAGCGGCAGAAAGTGTCCGACGTCCCGCCTCCTCCGCCTCCGGCTTCCCGCATGCAGACCGCCGGGCCGGGCGCCGCGGATCCGGCGCCGGGCCGCAAGGTGAACAACATCTGGGGCAGCGTGGTGCAGGAGCAGAACCAGGACCAGGTGACGGCGGGGCTGGGGGTCTTCGGCATGGAGGGGGACTTCGACGGCAGCAGGAGCGTGGAGACCTACAACTACGTCCTGGCCAGGAAGATGATGGAGAAGGAGCGGCAGGAGGAGGAGGAGAAGACCAGAGGCCGCCAGCACCAGGAGGTGGCCATGCTGGACTCCCAGCTGGAGGACTACATGCAGGGCCGGGGGTCCCAGGGCCCCCCCGGCCCCCCCGGCGGCGCCCACCAGCCCAAGAGGAAGCGCTCGGCCAAGGAGCGGCTGGGCATGCCGTCCCAGATGGACCTGCAGGGGCGCTACCCGCTGCTGGAGACGGACCCGGAGGACCGCGTGGTGGAGGAGCTGGCCCACCGGCTGCAGGAGCCCAAGCTGGACCTGGTGCAGCGCGTGGTGCGGGTCCTGGGCCGCGGCCAGGCCATCCGGCTGCTGGAGGCGACGGCGACGGTGGAGCAGAACGGCGGGCTGGTGACGCTGGACGGCAGACGGCGCCGCACCCCTGGCGGCGTCTACCTGCACCTGCTGAAGACCTCCATCGGCGTGAGCAAGGAGCAGCTGCGGCAGGTCTTCCTGAACGAGAACCAGGAGCTGCGCAGGAGCAAGAAGGCGGCTCAGAAGCGGCGGCGCCACCTGGTGGCCAAGAAGATGAAGCAGGCGCTGACCACGCTGCACCTGCAGGAGGGCGACGAGGGGTCCAGGGAAACCTTCGCCAGCGACACGCACGACGCGCTGGCCTCGCTGGGGGAGGCGGCGGAGGAGGAGGAGGAGGAGGTGACTGATGAAGAGGAGGAGGAGGAGGAGCGGGAGGAGGTCGCCGTGGGAACCGAGGAGACGCCAGTGGTCTACAACTCGGCCGACCTGGAGGTGTTCTGAGGATGCGCGGCGGCGACGCCACGCCACAGAGACTGTCCCGCGGCTCGCCGGGTCGCTCTGGAGACTTTTGGTTTGTGTTTAAGTTGCAGCAGAAGATGTTCAGATGTTCAGATGTTCAGATGTTCAGAAGTTCAGATGTTCAGATGTTCAGATGTTCAGCTGTTCAGAAGTTCAGATGTTCAGAAGTTCAGATGTTCAGAAGTTCAGAAGTTCAGATGTTCAGATGTTCAGCTCTGAGGTGTTTTGTGGTTTCTGGTTCTGGACAGTGGAGACGTTTGGAGTAAAACTGAAGAAACGTTAATAACCGAAACTTAAGTGACTTTGTTTTCTGAAAACGTGTTGAATTCCTAACGTTGCCATGGCGACGCCAGTTCGCGGTTTGTCTCCCCTTAGTGACGATTCTGATCCCTCATCTTGAATTAAACGTCCTTTAAATAATAAAAAGTTATTTCCGTCTACCAGTGTGTTGTGAAATATTACATATTATTACCACAGCTAGTCATCACATGTTGGAGCGCAGGAGACCCGGTCCGGGTCCTGGTGAGGTCCGGGTCCTGGTGATTCCCGGGTCCTGGTGAGGTCCGGGTCCTGGAGGCCTATTTTCTTTGTCATGTGAATTGTAACGTTGAGTAGTAAAACGTCTGGTTTCTATGGCGACCGCCCTTGCCGGGTTCGAGTCCCGCCAACGGTGGTCTCCATAGAAACCTTAAATATATTTTAAACTTCATGATGTCAAATATAACAGCTGTTGGTTAACACTCTGGAGCCGCGGGTTCGAGTCCCGCTGAGGGTGGTCTCCATTGAAGCCTGAAGGCATTTTGAAAGCCAGTGATGTCATATCCTTTGTGATGTCATATAAAACCTCCGTCCACATCCTGGTTTCCGTCTTCCTGTGGGGAAGCAGTCCCGGGTTCAAGTTCTGCTGGTCTCCCTGAAGTTCATGTAATATGTTCCTCTTATTTCTAAGTCAGTCAGTGTAACTTCCTGTTGTCCTGCTGGTGCATCAGAGAGAGCTGCTGGTTAAGCTCCTGAGGCTGCGGGTTCAAGTCCCGCCTAGCTGGGTCATTTTGGAAAGATAAGGATGTTGTACGAATTTAATGTCAAACATGACTTCCTCCGTCTCACTGTCTCCATCTCTGTGGTGCGGTGGAGAACACTGCTGCTCGACACTTGGAGACCGGACTTCAAGTCCTGCTGGTCTCCTTGAAGATCCATTCTGTGGCTTTAATAGAAACCTCTTATTTCTACATGAATTGTAATGTCACATACAAGTGGGACTTTCCAGCACATCTCAACGGGTGTCCGGGTGGCGCAATGCAGAGCGCTGCAGGTTATCAGATCTACAGTCCAGGGTTTGAGTCCCGGCAAGGGACATCGTCGGGGTTTCCTCTTGTGTGTTGTGATCCAATACAACATCTCTTATTTGTAAGTCCTGTGAATCGTAAGGTCAAGTATAACTTCCCACCACACCTCAGCTGGCGTCTTGGTGGTGCAGCGGTAAGGCTGTTGGTCAACACTCTGTAGACCAGGCTTTGAGTCCTGGCAAGGGACATCTTTGTTGTTTCCTCTTGTGTATTGTGATGTCAAATACAAGTGGACTTCCCTACAGGTCAAAGGGGAGGTCTTGGTGGTGTGATGGATAGAGCCGTGGTCTGCTGCTCTGACTGACCTGGTATCGAGTCCTGGTAGTGGGGCTGGTTGGGGATGCCAGGGATGGACAGAGGGCTGTTGGAGATGTCACTCCTGACATGTAACAGTCAGGGACACAGGTGTCCCAGTTAGGCAGGTCTCCAAAATCCTGTTCACAGAGTGAACAAGATACTGGAGACCTGACTCCAACCTCTTGTTCCCTCGGTAAACAAAATGTTGGTCTTAGCAGGTCTCCTATGTCTTGTTCACTCTAACGTCCTGTTCTCTGGGTCTCCGACCGCCATGGTACCACGGCGGTCTGAGACCCGGAGAACAGGGTCGCCGACACACACACACACACACACGGAGCCGGATGTTGGAGTCTTCTGCTTCCCTGACTGTTGATATCAGGAGTGTCACACTACATCTCCAACAGGGTTGGCATCTTCAACCAGTCCCACCACCAGGACTCGATACCAGATCAGTCAAAGCAGCAGACCACAGCTCTATCCATCACGCCACCAAGACCTCCCGTATGATCTGTAGGGAAGTCCACTTGTATTTGACATCACAATACACAAGAGGAAAACAAGAAGATGTCCCTTGCCGGGACTCAAAACCTGGTCTACAGAGTGTTGACCAACAGCCTTACCGGTGAGCCACCAAGACGCCAGCTGAGGTGTGGTGGGAAGTCCCACTTGTATGTGACATTACAATTCAATTCATAGGGGCCTTGAACCCAGACCCAGCTGACAACCCACGACTCTAGGGGCCTCAAACCCAGCTGGTCTGGGTTCAAGGCCCCTAGAGTCGTGGGTTGTCAGCTGGGGTTGGGTTCAAGGCCCCTAGAGTCGTGGGTTGCCAGCTGGGTCTGGGTTCAAGGCCCCTAGAGTCGTGGGTTGTCAGCTGGGTCTGGGTTCAAGGCCCCTAGAGTCGTGGGTTGTCAGCTGGGTCTGGGTTCAAGGCCCGCTGAGAGAGATCTCTGTGGCGCCGTCTTATTTCTATGTGATGTGAATTGTGAAGGACACGTGCAAATTCTGTCCGTCTCACACCGTGCGTCTCGTTGGAGCAGCGGAGAGAGCCGTGCACTGGGAGCTCTGGGGAGCGCGGGTTCGAGTCCCGGCAAGGGAGATCTCCCGGGTTCAAGTCCCAGTGAGGGAGTGTGCTGTGGTCTCATCTTATTTCTACATGAATTGTAATGTCACATACAAGTGGGACTTCCCAGCACATCACAGTGGGCGTCCGGGTGGCGCAACGCAGAGTGCTGCAGGTTGTTGGCCTGCAGGCCAGGGGTTCGAGTCCCGGCCAGGGGCATCTTCTTGTTTTCCTCTTGTGTATTGTGATATCAAATACAAGTGGACTTCCCTACAGGTCATAGGGGAGGTCTTGGTGGTGTGGTGGAGAGAGCCGTGGTCTGCTGCTCTGACTGACCTGGTATCAAGTCCTGGTGGTGGGACTGGTTGAAGATTCCAACCCTGTTGGAGATGTAGTGTGACACTCCTGATATCAACAGTCAGGGAAGCAGAAGACTCCAACATCCTGTTCCAATGTCTTGTTCACTCCAACATCCGGCTCCGTGTGTGTGATTGTGTGTATGAATGAGTGTGTATGAATGAGTCGGAGACCCTGTTCTCCGTGTCTCTGACCGCCGTACCATGGCGGTCAGAGACCCGGAGAACAGGACGTTGGAGTGAACAAGACATAGGAGACCTGCCAAGACCAACATCTTGTTCCCTCGGTAAAAAAGATGTTGGTCTTGGCAGGTCTCCAATGTCTTGTTCACTCCAACGTCCTGTTCTCCGGGTCTCTGACCGCCTGACCACGGCGGTCAGAGACCCGGAGAACAGGGTCTCCGGTACACACACATTCATACACACAATCACACACACGGATCCGGATGTTGGAGTGAACAAGACATCGGAACAGGATGTTGGAGTCTCCTGCTTCCCTGACTGTTGATATCAGGAGTGTCACACTACATCTCCAACAGGGTTGGCATCCCCAACCAGTCCCACCACCAGGACTCGATACCAGGTCAGTCAGAGCAGCAGACCACGGCTCTCTCCACCACACCACCAAGACCTCGCCTATGACCTGTAGGGAAGTCCACTTGTATTTGATATCACAATACACAAGAGGAAAACAAGAAGATGTCCCTTGCCGGGACTCGAACCGCTGGCCTGCAGGCCAACAACCTGCAGCACTCCGCTTTGCGCAACCCGGACACCCGCTGGGAAGTGCTGGGAAGTCCCACTCGTATGTGACATTACAATTCATGTAGAAATAAGATGAGCCCACAGCACACTCCCTCACTGGGACTTGAACCCGGGAGATCTCCCTTGCCAGGACTCGAACCCGCGCTCCCCAGAGCTCCCAGTGCACGGCTCTCTCCGCTGCGCCAACGAGACGCACGGTGTGAGACAGACAGAATTTGCACGTGTCCTTCACAATTCACATCACATAGAAATAAGACGGCGCCACAGAGATCTCTCTCAGCGGGCCTTGAACCCAGACCCAGCTGACAACCCACGACTCTAGGGGCCTTGAACCCAGACCCAGCTGACAACCCACGACTCTAGGGGCCTTGAACCCAGACCCAGCTGACAACCCACGACTCTAGGGGCCTTGAACCCAGACCCAGCTGGCAACCCACGGCTCTAGGGGCCTTGAACCCAGACCCAGCTGACAACCCACGACTCTAGGGGCCTTGAACCCAGACCCAGCTGTGTGTGTCAGTCATCCCAGATGTAAGATATCAAATGTCATTTATTGATCCCAGATATAAGAGAAATGTACTTCATTAATCCAAGGTGAGATCAATTGTATTTTATTAATCGCAGATATATGATCAAATCTACTTCACTCATCCCAGATATCAGATACATGTACTTGTATGTGTGACGCAGGGCACTGACTCGCCGCTAGAGGGCGGAGTTGGACCAGTAAAGTCATGCTGGAGGGTGACGTCAGACTGGAGGGTGACGTCAGACTGTGGGCCAAAATGTCATCTCACCAGTAAAGCCAGCCCAATAGTTGAGCAATATTTAGATATTTCTCTATTTAGATGGACTCTATATTTCATTCCTAGATGATTGTATTTCAGAGGTAACCGACACATTTTAAGTTAAGAGTTAAGAGTTAGTTAGTTAGTTTAGTTAGTTAGTTAGTTAGTTAAGTTAGTTAGTTAAGTTAGTTAAGAGTTTAAGAGTTCATTCAAATAAGCCTTTTATTTCGCTCTGCTGGCTGCACTTCCTCACGGTGACCACCGGGGGGCGGCAGAGGACAAGTATGTGTTTTACAGTATATTACGGTATGTATTATTTTACAGTATATTACGGTATGTATTATTTTACAGTATATTACGGTATGTATTATTTTACAGTATATTACGGTATGTATTATTTTACAGTATATTATGGTATGTATTATTTTACAGTATATTATGGTATGTATTATTTTACAGTATATTATGGTATGTATTATTTTACAGTATATTATGGTATGTATGATTTTACAGTATATTATGGTATGTATTATTTTACAGTATATTATGGTATGTATTATTTTACAGTATATTATGGGATGTATTATTTTACAGTATATTATGGGATGTATTATTTTACAGTATATTACGGTATGTATTATTTTACAGTATATTATGGGATGTATTATTTTACAGTCTGTTCATCAAGCCTATCAAATAAATAGTCAACTTTTATCCAGTAAATCAATGTTCACTTTCCCAGTGGGAAACCTTCAAAGAAACCACACACACACACACACACACACACACACACACACACACACACACACACACACACACACACACACACACACACACACACACCTACCGACCAGCACCAGCTAATCAAAGCTTCTAGAAGCGTCTGATTGGTCGCTGGGATGGCGGAATCGGCTCATTATCCTGCTGGTTCACATGAAAGGCCTCAACATGTCCCTCCCCTTCATCACGCACACACTAACACGCGTGTGTGTGTGTGTGTCTGTGTGTGTGTCTGTGTGTGTGTGTGTCTGTGTGTGATGCTCTCCATGTGTCTCTGGTCACAGCAGGACCCCGTCTCTGTCACCTGGCAACCGTCTTGTTGCTTGGTTACGACGGGGCGTTGCTACCTGCAGGCGAGCGGAGACAGTAGACTGGAGGAGGACCTCACCTGCAGATATGAGGACTCAG